CAGGTTGAGGTGGTCACAGCACCCTGGGATGTTTCTGTGGCAGACGGAAAAAGCACCCGCCTGGGGCTGCAGCCGGATGCAGAGTGAGTCTGCAATCTCATGGTTTTTAAAGAGTATTTATTTATTTATTTATTTGAGAGGGAGCCTCTAACCCCGCTTGTGCTCTTGCTCCCTCTCAAATAAATAAATAAAATCTTTAAAAAAAAAAAATGTTTGTGAGAACAGACCTGCCCACTTGCACACACACACACACACACACATACACACGGCCGCACAGGCACACCTGCGCCCTCGTTCATGCACAAACACACTCATATGCACATACGAACACACACAGACATGCCCTTCCTCAAACCGACCCCCTCTCTATGTTCTCTCTGTTCCCCGTGGACCAGGCAAGCGTGAGGACACGTGAGGACGTGCCAGTTCTGTGGGCAAGGCGTGGCAGGCAGTCCTGCTCAGTCCACCTTGAGTCTATCCCAGGCTCCAGGAGGGCCCCTCTGCCCACAGGGACATCACTCCATTCCCACCCAGGGGATGGTATGCTCCAGGCAGGGGTTGGCCACCCCTTGCTGGCTGCAGCCATGCTGTGGGGCCCAGGGCGGGCCTGGGTGGGGGGCCGGCCCAGCTCTGAGGCTGGAAACCCTCCTCCCTATCCAGCCCCCGCCTCCTGAGTGTTAGGGCCACACGCCACTGCCATGGGCCCCACCCAGACTGAGGCCCCAAGTCCGTCTAGCCGGGCAGGGAGACACCACCCAGTGGGGGTGGGCGGTTCTGCAGGGCCAGTATGCGCGCCACAGCTAAATGTGGAATGGAAAATTTTAACTCAGACGTTTTCATTTAAATCGGGTTCTTCATTAACACTGTTTGTGTCTAAGAGTGATGATCACGCATGGGGGCACCCGGGACCAGAGGGTCTGTGGCCACTCTGCCCTGGTCAGGCTAGGCTGGGGCCTCTGTCCTCCTGTACCCATCCCATCCCTGCAGACACCTGAGCAGATGGGGAAACTGAGGCTCAGGCGGCCAAAGATACGGTAGGCCACAGGCAGTGAGGCCTGGCAGGGGGCTCACCCTGTTTCCTTCCTTCCCATGTGGCCCCTGCCAGGGGCTCTGTTCACCTGGGCCTGCCCTTCCACCGTCCCATGCTGGGTCTTCCAGCCTGTCTGGGCCTCTGGGCATGGGGAGGGCTCAGGCCCATCCTGGGGACAGACTGTGACGTCCCAGAAGTCAGCCCCCTGGTCCTGGACAGAGACAAGATGGCCCAGCTTGGCCCCAGGTGTTGGTAACCCAAAAGCAGCTGTAGCTTTCTGATGTCTCCAGGTTCCCTGTCATTCTGCAAAGTGGCTCGGGGAGGAGGAAGGGGCTGAGGTGGAGACCTGGCCTGGGGGCTCTTGGAAACCCACTCAGCACCTGACCCAGCCTGGCATTGAGCCACAGTGTGAAGGGCTTCTGGGGCCCAAGGGGACACGACTGTACCAGGAACCCAGGAAGGCTTCCTGGAGGAGAAGGACCTCTGGGAACCTACCCTTCAGGATGCTCCCCATCCTCTGAGGGAGATGCCCTGACCTCCGGTGATCCTATCCACCCCGCAGCCTCTCCTGGTAACATGTCTGAAAATTCTGCTCATCCCAGGCCCCTCAGTGAGCTGGGCCGAGGAAGGGGTCCTTGATCTTCTAGGCTCCTGGCTCCCCACCCTGCATGATGTCAGGAGCTGCTGTCTGCAAGGACCTGCCCCAAAGGGGGCAGCTCGTGTTTACTGAACAGAGAGGGGGCCTGGGGCCACGCAGAGTCCAGTGAAGGTCAAGGGGTAAAGGCAGAGAAGAGAGAACCCCGTGGGCGCCCCAAGGGCAGGGTGGAGAAGACACAGGAGTGGGCTGCTCCCTCCTCAATACATGTCTAAGTCTGCAGCAAGCCTGGACCCAGAAAAAGGGTAAAAGTGTGGGTGCTAGGGTGACCAGAGGCCTATCCCAAGGAGGGGACCACTGGGACCCCCGCTTGCCTGGAATTCAGCACACTGTGAATAGTGTCAGTAGGCCTGGTTCACCCCGCAGAACCCCTTTTCAGGAACCCAGTTGCTTTGGGGGACCCTGGTGGAGCCAGGGTCAGGGTTGGCCAGGGTCCCCAGTGGCCTTTTGGCCCAGGGAATGTGGCCTCAGGGGTTCAGGGGAGCCCTGCCCTAAGGGTGATCAAAGCTCCCTTGGCTAGACGGTGACTGCCCCTGGCCCCCAGCTGGTGCCCCTGCACCCCCAGCTTGCTGCAGAGGCACATGCCACCTTCTCTCAGGCAGAGTGGGTCACACACAAGGCAGGACACAGGGAAAGGCCTGCAGTGCCCTGAGGGAACCCTGCCCCTTGCTGGGCTGGTGTCCCTGAACCCAGAACCTCAGCTCTGAGAACTGAAGAAGGAAGAACTTGGCAGGGTGCAGGAGCCTCAGCGCCCGCCCACATCTTGGGATGGTGAAGTTCATCATAGGACAGCCGTGTAAGGGCCCTCTGAAACCACAGCAAGGGCTTATGACAAGCATGCTACAGAGGAGCTCAGGTGAGCATAGGAGGAGAGGAGAGGAGACAGGAAGACTCCCTGGAGTAGGGTTGATTTCAATTCTTTAAAGATTTATTTCCCTGCATTTCACAAGTTCTTGAAAGAGAACACGTATTACTTTCAATGTCAGGGAGGAAAAACACTTAATTGCACTTCGGGAGTGAGAAACCAGGATCAGCAAGTGGACGCCAGGCTACCCCGAAGCACACCTGAGTCCAGGTGTGGGGGACCCCAGGGCCAGGACTGGGCTAAGCCCCACCCCTCCAGAAGACCCTGCACTTGCTGTCCACCTGCCCCTCTCCTCTCTGCCCCACAGCCAGCAGCATCTGAGTAACAAGAACACGCCTGCTTGCCAAAGCCAGAAATAAGCCCGTCCACACAGGCCTTTTTTAAACACGCTTTTGGCAGCCTGTGGCGCCCACCCAGCCCCGGCCTCCAGGTAGGGAGCTCTTGCGCCTCCATGGGCACCCAATGCAGACTCGCCATCCTCACAGCTGCTACCCTCACTCTTGCTAAGGCGAAGGGTGCCAAGCCGGCTCCTGCTCACCCCTGCTCCAAGCTCATTTACACTGGGGCTGACCTGCCTCGGAACAGAGACCCCGCGGGCTGGGGCCATTTGCAACACCTCCAGTTCCCAGGAAGGCTTGAGCGGTCATTGCTCTAGTCACCTGCGCTGTTTCTCTGGCATGGGACTTGTGGAAGCGGGTGGTCCCAGATCTGCATGGCTGAAGCCTGGAACCCCCACCCCTCCTTGTACCTGAGGTGCCCCACAGCCATGGTGTTGCCAGCAGGCTTATATGTGAGCCAGCCTGTCTCAGGTGAAGAAGTTATGTCTGCATGGGCCCAGGGCCTTGCCTGCCCTCTGTCTCAAGGGTCCCAGTACCCAACATGGCTGGTGTCCTTGGGTGAGGCCTGGCCTGGGCCCTCCAGCTGCGACCCCGAGCCTTCCCGAGAAGGTCAAGGGAGGGTGTAGGGCACTGCCAGGCCAGCATCAAGGGTGGCTTTGGGGCAGGCACGTGGCAGCCTGGCCAGGCCACACCTACGCGGGAACAACTTGGCTCTGGCCCTGTGCTGGACAACCAGGAGGGGACCCAAGAGCCGCCCTCAGCTCCTTGCTGGAGGGGCTGGTGGCTCTCAGCAGCCCACGTCCCCCCTCGTGCAGCCTGTGGGGAGGGGAGGGCTGCAGCCACACCCTGGGCGGCCACTGCACACACTCCCCTATTTGGGCCCAGCAACTGACACCCAGGGCCTGGCACACTCGTGAGCTGCCTGCCAGGCTCTAGTGTCCCCACACGGATAACTCACCTGTCCCTGGTGCCCCAGTATAGGCACACTCACTGTTTCTGCCTCAGCCCAGATGGGGGGGCTCACGTCACCCACAGCCCTGGTGCCAGCCCTGTCGTGCCCAGTCCTCCCGGCCCCTGGCCCCCCTGCCCTGCCCCGCCCGCGGGCCTTGTCCCCCAGGCCTGCCAGGCTGCAACCCCCGCTATACCGGCCCCTGCCCCTTCTGGCCCGGCTGTGGCCGCCTGTGCACCCCCCCCCGCCGGTGACGCGGGGGACTCACGTGAACACGAAGAACAGGGTGCTGGAGCCGACCAGCAGCGCGGCGGCCGTGGCCACCGGGATGTACTTGGCGGGTTTGAGGCGCGTCCCGGGGCTGCGGGGCATCCTGGGCGCCGCGCCGCCGCATCCCTCC